GGCTTCAAGAGGAATAAGGGACCAAGCACTTTGCAGTCGATGTGGAGAACCAGAGTCAGCACTACATCTCCTATTCTGATGCAGCTATGCACAACATGTATGGGATCTCGCCCCACTAAAAGAACCTCTCAACTCCCAATCAATTGCGAGTTTAGAATCAGGATTCAAAGCCGCAAAGCTGCTAGTTTGTCTTCCTCCGATTGGTATTGCAAACGCAAGCCTCATCCCGTGGATCTATTGGAATTTGTGGATCGCAAGGAACAACTTCATCTTCAACAATCGTACTTTCACGGCAGAGGACACAATCAACAAATCAATCCGAGATGCAAAAGAGCGGAGCACCGCACATAACAATGATCCTTGCCACGAACCACTCAACCCTGATCCGACACAAAATCCTGAAGCCCAAAATCAAGACATCCTTCGATGTTTCACCGATGCAGCCTAGAATCGGGAGACACAGAGAGCCGGGCTAGGATGGCTCCTTCGGGATGCAGCGGATCAAACCCTCCTCTCGGGATCTGTAGCTAAAGCAAACGTATCATCACCATTAATGGCGAAAGCCCTCGCCGTCAGAGCTCCTCCATGCGGCATCACGAGATCTGCACTCCTTCCACCTCCTATCAGATTCACAAGGATTGATCAATAACTCAAAGAATCAAAATCTCGAGATCTTTAGTATTCTAAAGACATCTCACATCTAACTTATATTCTGAATATCGTGTATTTTCAATTTGTGAAAAGGTCACAAAAATCTGAGGCAGATGGTTTATCAAAATCATGCATAAACCATGTACCAACTCTACCGGTTTAAACCGGCTATATGCAATCAAGTTTCCTTTGACCAAAAAAAAATAATAATAATAAGATTTTGACATTCTCTTTAAAAATTTATTAAAATTTTATTGTGTTTTTAAATAAAACATCACTTTTTATTTATCTAAAACTTTTTAACCAATAAAAAACTAATCTGCAAAATCAAAGAGTCATTTTAAAAAACGCCACTTTTCAAGTGCCACTTTACTAAAATGCCACATTTTTACAATCTTTACAAAAATGCCATTTTTTAAAAATTATTTATTCATTATATTATTTATGTTTGGGTTAACTATATTGTATTAGGGTTTAGTTTTGAGGGTTTAAGGGGTTTTAGGGGTCAAAAAAATTTTTAGAGCTTAGAATTTAAAGATTTATGCTCTAAAAATCATAATTAGT